CTATGTTTCCACTCCACTGCACAGTCAGGGGTGCCCAGAGTTATGCTAGAGAGTAGTGTTTGATAAACCAATGGAAATGGTTTCGAACTTATCAGTGACTCTTTACTAATAAGAAAAGCTCGGCATCAAATAAACCCGTGATTATGTCATATCAATAAAATTTTAATTTAGAAGGAAAGTTTGGGCAACAAACTAGACTTTGAACACACAAAAGGCCACACCATCTTGGTCTTCATATCATCGATTAAACTAGGGATTGCTTCGAAGATATGAGGACCAAGATGGTGTAGCCTGTGGTATGGTCGCAGTCTCCTTTCGATCTATATAAGTCGGTTTACCTCGTTGTCGCAACTTGATCTTGTTGTCCGGGAGACTTAGTAGAAGGCCTCTAGTCTGAAGTCCTCTGACATAGTAAATTTCATAAGTCCCAGCATCTGACAGTGGACTTGGTACATTCTCAAACATTTTGCCGGCATCGTAGTCAGCGATTTCGTAGCTTGGTGAGGAGAATGGCAAAACTCACGGATGATGCCGACTACGATGCCGGCGAAATGTTTGAGAAGGTACTAAGTCCACTGTCTGATGCTGGGAATTATGATAACCACTATGTTAGAGGACTTAGGACTAGCTGCCTTCTACTAAGTCTCCTGGACAACAAGACCAAGTTGAGACAACGAGGTTAACCCACTTCTAGGGATTGCTTCGCTGCTGTGAATGCCGATGTGCACTTGAAAGTCCTTTAGGAACCATCCTGTATCGCAGGGATAAATATCGCCATAACCAGAAACCAACTTTTAAGGAAACTCACCCATCATGAAGCCAAATAGAAAGGCCATTTGAAATTCTACCAACATCCTTTGACCTAATTTTGCTATCTTAATGACGTATCCTATCACTTGTCAAATGTTCAATTCTCCCTACTCCCTTGTAAATAAATGAATTTAAAACAGAATTTTCAGAATTATCCCTTCCATTGTTCAAGCGACCCATAGAAAGGTGCTTTAATACTTATAGTTGCTGTCGAGTTTTGTTTGTCACTAGGACGTTTAGATGTTTAAATCCAATCATATCTGCCTCCTCCCTCTGCTTCCAAATCTAATTCTAGACTGAACTAAAAATTCAGGGAGATTGTCTTGCTTAGTCTGCTGAAGTGAATAACAACCTAGTCTTCTAAAGGGAAATGACCAGAAGGTCTTGCCAAGACATTGAATTAGACTTAAACTTTCCTATCCAAAGGCCTATTCCACGAATATGAATGACACGGGTCCAACCACGACCCCAACAGAATTCCCAACTGCGTCATTAGCGTCAAGTGGCAACGCTGCTAATTCGCCACAGATTCTTGGGTGTCAGTGGGCCACAGGTCAGATGTGACGTTCAGGGCAAGTCAGGTCTACCAATTCATAATCTTTTGTTGGGACTGCTTTATCGGGCCAATTTCTAGCTTAGATTAAACACATTAGCATTACTATATACGTAGTGAGTAAGCTCTAGTTGGTATACTAAAAAGAACTAAGGATTTTCGTTTGAAAGTATGTTTACAAAACTACTACTAGATCTTTCATAAGACCTGTATTCACCTTGGCTTCCAATAAGGTATGGGTGTGAACACTTTTTAGGAGGCATGGTTAGATGAAATTCATTGGAAACGTGAAACTTACTCATATAATTCTAGGAAAAGTCAACTTCAAGTCCTTCACCACTTTGAGCAATTATGGTGAATACAGCGCTTAAACAACAATTAAAGATTATTTGAGCATTTTTACGTCACTTTAGTTCTATTACCTATTGAGGTGCAGGCTGTGTGGCGGAGTAGGAATGTTGCAAGTTGATGCGTCCAAGCCGATTTAACATCAAGCTGGGCGTGCTGATGAGATCTAGGCGAGGTCGAAAATGCAGTCCCTCTTAGAAGTGAAAGCCTACATGAAATCGGTCAACATTCGTTGGTACCAAAAAGGTTTATTTCATTTCATTGTGTTCAATCCAACTAGCCATCCCTGCATTCTCATAAGCTGTATAAGGGTATTCGGAGTCTTAGTTGTGAGCCGTAAAGTATATCTACTTTTAAATAATAGTGAATTATCTCGCTAGGCAGATGAACTCTTGGTTTATCTAACAGTTGACAAGCATTTGACGTTTACATAAATGTTTTCAATTTGCTTGATTGTATAGCAGAAGTAGTTTAGTCTCTTAAAAGATCGAGATTCCAATCATCTTAAAGCCTCTGTTCTGCTCAAACTGGTCTCCGACCCCACCTAAGAAGTTTACTTAGTAGTATATTTTTTTGTAACACTTTCTTCATTAGAGTAAGGCCATTAGTACACACCCACTCAAAGAAGAGTAATCCAGTCTCTGGAACAACGCAAGCACGTGCGAATGTGCATGACCGGCAATTCCTTGTGCAAAAGCGCAATTATTCCTAGGTCCTATCGTCAGCGGTATCGACGCCCCTGTTGAAGATTGTAAATCTAAAACTATCTGACTTTCTAGACTAGCCACAGCACGTGGGCACCGATTAATTGTATACACTTTAACCATGTAACAACCAAAGAATGATCGAAATTCATACTTCCCATGCATGTTAATATGAAGAAAGCTTGGGTCTTCCTAAGCAATGTTGTTATTCTACTTTGTTCACGACAGAAGGCAGTGTTCAGGATTTTCCTAATTAGTAGGTTTCAATACTGTTAATAGATCTTGAATAAATCTGTATCACTCTAGGTCTCATAAGGTAAAGAGGGGCGGATAGTGAGTTTCCCACGATAATACGGGTAGGCCTCAAAATGCTTTTGCAGCTTACCTAGCGCTGCTTCCAAAAAAGGTATCTCGTCAAGGGTGGACAGCAGTTTGGGCCTTGACTGAGTCATATTAACACCGCCAGAGGGAAGTATAATTATAACATGTTACAACTACAACACATTTGTATAAGTGTTTTTTAGTCACATGGCAGGTGTAACTTTCAAGGCATGCCAGGCTTCTTTCGTAAGTGAGTAAGTTTTCGAAACAACCAGTAAATCAGTAATATGAGCTGTATTCGCCCTATTTCGTTTATGGTGAGGAAGGACTGGTAGTTGATTCTTCCCGCAATGACATGAGTTGAGCTGACGTTTCCATTGAATTTTACATAGCCTTGCTTTCACAAAAAGTTTTATCATTTAGGGTGGACTGCAGTTTCGACCTCGCATAGGTCTTATCATGGTTCGACTCCCCCTTGGGGTGTTGATAAGACCTATGCGAGGTCGAAACTGTAGCCACCCTGGATGAGAACACCTTCTGGGAAAGCAAGGCTATGTGAAATTCAATATAAAAGTAAGCTTTATTCATATTATTGTGTGAAATATCAGCTTCCAGTCCTGCTTCATCTTAAACCAAATAGGGTGAATACAAATAATATGTCAGGCTTCGTCCATAGCACATTTATAGTGGGACTTTCGATGAAGCAATCTTGTATTTTGCCATTACAATATACCATGTTACTTACATTATACTAAGTAAGTATTGATACTAGCAATTGATCTATAACATGAATGGAGTTACCCTTGGTCGCGTGTGATGGTGGAAAATGATTATGTTATTATCTATCTATCAGCCCTTCACCAACTTATGCTACCTAGGATGACTACAGCTCTTAACCAAAATTCACTTATAGTAACGAGACCTACTCATATGACAAGCGTATTCAGTTTTAGTATTGAAATACAAGTTTGCCTTAGAGCCAATTTCACTAAAACTGTGATACGGATAAGGTCTATCTTGCCTTGAAAGTCACATCCTCTCTGTGACCCATAGACACGCATAGCAATGCGACGTAGTGGTACCTTGTCAAAATTATGTACCGTACTACCAGGGTTCAATTCCCATTTAGATTGCTGATGATGATCATTCGAGGTCGAAACTGCAGTTCATCCTGCATGGGAATACTTCTTAGGAGGCAAGACTGAATGAAGTATAATGACATTGTGTGGTATACTCAGATAACTGTGAAAAGTGTTCAACCATCAAGTCGTGTCTGTAAAATGAGACATATTTGAGACTGAAACGGCAATCCACTGTGGATGAGAAAACTTTTTCTCAGACAAGGAAGAGCGGAATTTAATGACATTATATGACTAATTCATTGCATTACTGGAAATCGCTTGATCAGTCCTTACATCAACTTAGGTGAATTACGGTATTTATTCTAGGATTACCGATTGTCTTGGAACATCCTGTTATCGAATATGAGGTCTTAAGTGTTGCAATGCTCACTTTACACTTTCGGCACTTATCTCCTCACATCCCTACCTATCAACGTTATGCGAAAACATGCCTTCATTGTGCAATTCAGATAGAGTAAATGTCGTATTTGCATAGCACTAATATGATTATCAGAATCGCATGCACTTCAAATTATGTTGTCAGTCAGAAATTAATACATAAAAAAAATGTTATGACACTTGAAAACAGTTGGCAAGAAACTATCGACCTACGGAAAGGGTTCATGCATTCCGAGGCATCCACTCATCCTCTCAAGGGTGACAACAAATTAGTTTGTTTAAATATAAATTATTGCCTTACAATTTTAGATAGAAAGAAAGTGATTTATGGCTCACCATTAGGTCCATATTTTTCTTGAGATCGTTTGATCTGCTCGTCCGACATTCCAGTTTCTTCGTCCACATTGAAATAGGCCTGCACCTCACATACCTTCTTGGTGTGTGCCAGCTCCATGCTGAAGACCTACTTGCGGCTCGAAGTTGGGTTAATATCCCCCGTGTTTCGCACTTTAAAAGCCTTGCTGCAAAAAAGGAAAACAAGTAGATTGCTTAACGGCTCAAACAAATAGTTCCTTGGCATTACTTGACAAGAAAGAGAGACATATAAAATCGCCTTCAGTAGACCCCATAAATAGTGTCAAGTCGTGTGTAACTTATGGAGTTCGCGATGTTAGCTTATGGTGCGCTTTCGATAAGAGAGCATGCTTTCGGAGAAGCCGCTTTGGCATGGCCACTCCAGCTAAGTCAGGTGGACAGCATCGTCACTTCTGCTTTTGTCACAACCAACAGCACAACCATCACCATCCGTCCCAACATCAGCTCCACTCGTTTCACGGCAAAGTGACCCCAACGAGCATTGATACTACAACAGGTTGAGAGATCATCCTCAATACCATCAGCTAGTCGTCTCGAGATAGGCTCCGATGTGACGAATTCTAGCAAGCAGATTGCCTCACGTTTCTACATTTCAAGCTAAGACCGAAACCCACATAAATGAGCCTTTTTGTGGCTTCTGGACGAGGAAAAAGAAAGAAGGGGTGAAGAATGAGTAGAGCGGATGCGTGAGCAGCCGACTGAGGCACAAAACACGGCAGCTGAAGAAACTAGTCCGTCCAAACACCCGAAGAGGTTGGACCAAAGGAGTCCACAGAGGAAGAGGAAACAGGCCGAGGGGTTAACAGAATAGAAGAGGACCCGCCGGGTCGACTCACTGCTAAATCGTCGTGAAATGCAACCACTGAAAGGGTCCTTGGCTCGAACGGCAGACGCCTAGTCTAAATGGCGAGATGTTTAATCTACCGGTAGTTAAGAAGACTCGTACAGCCAGGCAACGGCAAGCTTCACCAACCACCAAGAGACTTCACCTTGCCCTTGGATTGCCCGATCTCCCGGTGCTAAGGCCTACAGATGAGTGCTTCCCTGACTGCCTGCCGGCCTGGCTGCCGTAGCCCGATCTAATGTCGGTTTGCCCAGCACCGAGTAAGAGACGACGGGCACATTGGCCAGCCGAAGGCAAGGCACGAGGCGAACTTGCAGCTGGACCAACGCTTCTACCTCCATCCGGTGCAAGGTACAAGCGTCCAGTTGTGTCAGGGCAAAGGTAGACTTCCTCAGAATGCGCTAGTATTCCACGGTGCAGGGGTAGACACCCGCATACATATGCAGACACACCCAAGCTCACATATGCGTCACACGCTACCCTGTCCAGCAGTACGTGTATGTGTGCATGCATGTGCATGTGTGCATGTGAAGGTTTAGCAGAAACCCGATATTAGTCGGGTCAAGGGAATGGGCTGTGCTGGACAACGAGATTATCCTATAAATTGGTGAAATGACTTGCGCCTGACGCACAAAGCATGTGGTACTTTATGGTTTCATGGAACCGTAAAGCCAACTCCTTGGGCATCAGAACTGTTCGTAGTAGATTAGATATTAGAAGGAAACGCTGGCTCCCAGTTTGATTTGGAAGAAAATTTGCTTTTTATAAATTCATTTGGCCTATAAACGCCACCTCGATCCAGAAATAGGCAACAAATGGACGCCGGTGCGAACCTGCATAGCGGGAAATAGTCTCTGTGTGAAGACAGGGTAGACGTGTGTACGTGGATGCATATTTGTGCTCGACTTTTCTGACTATGCATTTGTGCCCGGTCTGCCCGTTTGTTTTTGTGCGCAAGACTATACGTTTGGCAAAAGTGAAAGTATGTGGTCGCAGAGGTTAGCATGGATTTCGTTGAACGAAAGAGTGAGCGAAAGCGTTGATATACTAAATGTATGAAATGCGAGTGAATTGGTGGCTGCAAAGGAGGTCCAAATAGTTATAACACAGAGAAGGAATGCAAATAGGAGATGATGGAAATTAAGGAAAAAGGAGATATCTAGCGTTAATTTGCCAAATAGTGGGAGTAAGATAATAGTATCACAGATATGCATCGGTTACTAGATTAGTACTATTATCTACAGTATTCGGTGGCTCACTGTACTGTCGACTTTTCCTCTTGTCATCAGTCGAATATGGCGAGTTTCGGTTAACTTTAATTTATGGAAGTATGAAGACCAAGATGGTGTGGTCTTTTTTATGGTCGCAGTCTCCTTCCATTGTATAGAAGTTGTTT